GGTCCGGACGCGCTCCTCCCCGTCTACCGATGGGGGCCCTCCTGATCGGTTCGCTCCTGAGTACGATTGCCTCAGTCTTACGCGATGAGATCTGGAGTTTGGCCCCCTCGCACCAATTCCTAACTAAGTTTGCTACACGTTGCCCTCTTTCTTCTAATTCTTTCCGCGAGTCGCCTTCGACCGTGACCAAAAGGTCGTCGGCGTACGCGATAAACGACCTACCTATCTCCCTCTCTAGTTCGCGGAGAAGCCCATCGAACATAACTGTCCAGCACGCTGGACCTAAAACCGAGCCTTGAGGGCAACCTCTACTCGCGTCCTTGGAGACTCGAATGTCTCCAAAGGACACGCTAACCTTCCTATCGCTAAAATAACTTCGGAGAACCTGGAAGATATTTTGAGGGCAGCCTAGCCTCTTCCAGGTCTCCAGGACTAGAGGCCACCAGACATTGTCGAAGGCGCCGGCTATGTCGAAGAGCAGCGCATAGACGTATCTCCGCTCGGAGGCGGAGACCATCCGACGCAGCTCAACGATCGCGTCCTCCGTCGACCTTCCGGCCATGAAGCCGAACTGCCGATCGGAGAGTCTCCCCGGCGCCATCGACGTCCGATCGAGTCGCTTCTTCAGAAGCTTCTCGAAGAATTTCCCTACAACGGAGAGGAGACAGATGGGTCTGTAAGATTTAGGGTCCTTCGCGTCCTTGCCCTCGCCCTTCAGGAAGATTCTAAGTGAGCCCTCCTTCCAGATCGAGGGAAAGACGCCCCATTGAAGGCACCCGTTAAAGAGCCTAACAAACTGACCGGGGATTACCTTAATGGCGGCCTTTAGCGCTGCAACCTCAACGAGGTCCAGGCCAGGCGCCTTCCTGACTTTCAGGGTTTTCGCGACGGCGACGATTTCTGCCTCCGTGAAGAGCGGGGCATCGTCTCCGTCGGGCGCGTTGAACGCGCTTCCCCTGATTTCACGCTGCATCGGCGTGTCGTCGTTCGCCCGGTCATCAGGGACGTGCACCTCCAGCAGGTGCCTGGCGGTCTCCTCTATGGTGGTGGTCGAGGAGCCATCATCGCGGCGGAGGCTGCTGAGCACTTCGTCCACTCGGAGCTTCCGGGCCTCGCGTTTGTACACGAATCCCCATGGCTCCGAGTTTCCCACCTCCGTCACGAATCTCCGCCAGCTGTCGCGCTTCGCCTTCCGCACCTCCCTCGTGTACCTCCTCAGCGAAAAGAGGTAGGCACTTCGGCCGGAGGCACGGAGCGGCTTAGCGTTTTCCCGCTGGAAGGCACGCCGCGCCCTATAGACGTCCTTCTTCAGGATCGTCAACTGTCTTGTCCACCACGGGTTGGACTTTCTAAAACGCCTCTTCCTGGGCATTGCCCGTTCCGAGGCTTCGACCAAAACTTGAGAAATGGACTTCGCGAAGCCCTCCACCCCCCCAGCGGACTCCAAACTGAGGACCTCGAGTCTCGACGCGGAAAGGTCGATGAGGCTATCGGCGTACTTCTCCCAGTCGGCACGACTCGCGTCGAACCGAGAGCTGGAGGTAGGCCGGTCATTGCCTCTGACTCTCGGCACCCTCAGACGGATGTCCAGGGCACTGTGGTCGCTCGTCGTCCAGTCGCACCTGACCTTCCATTCGCCGAAGAATTGGCTCATGGCCGGAGTCGCCAGGGTCACGTCAATATGTGACGATCCCCATGACGTCCAATAGGTCGGCGACTGTCCGAGAGCGTTGAGGATTTTCCATCCGCAAGCGCGGATGAATTCCTCGAGCTTCGCGCCCCTATCGTTTACCATGCGGTCACCCCACATCGGGGATCGCGCGTTGGCGTCCATGCCTATCAACAATCTCTTCCCCCTCAGCGAATGAAACACCGCCTCGAGGTGTCTGAGGTGCCCCTCAATCTCGTCGCTGTACTGGAAGTAGCACGATGCGACGTAGAAAGAGAAGCCGGGCGCCCGCACTTCCGCGCACGCACAGTGCGCGGTGCTGAGCTGCGAGATCTCCATGATATGGAACGAGGGGTTTGAAACTGCCACTGCAGCCCACGGACGTTCCGAGCGTGCAGCGGCCACCCTCGTTCCCTGCCCTAAACCGAGAATGGCGAAGCTCGAGCCTTGCTTCCGGACGTGCATTTCCTGCAAGAGCAGGACGTCCAGTCGCTTCTCGGCTACGAGCTGACGGACTTCGCCACTAACCACAGCTGAACGCCTCATGTTCAGCTGCATAACCCTAATGCCCATGGACCTTAACGATGAAGAGGAAACGACCGGAGCTATTTGAGGGGACATCGCGAGCGAGCGATCACCATTCGCGAGCGCGGACGTGGGCGCAGACGCGGACGCGGACCCTACACCAATTCCTACTGTATTTTGCCTCACTCGACCCGGCGTGGGCATTTCGTCGCACCTAACCAGCCTAATCGAGACAGCACGAAGGCTGCGACCTGGAGGCGAAGCTCCAACGGCGGTAACCCTAACCACCGGCGCGCCCGCCGCAGACGCGCCGGCTTGGTGGTCATCCCGTGGCCCATCACTCGATGACGACCTGAGGGGGCCTGGGACCACAACCCCCTCATGCCGGCGCGACGTTACCGACCCGCCGCAGGTAACGAATTTGGTAGACAAGCCCATATTGAATTGAGTTAAATTAAATGGGGGGTATGTCGGGACCCCCCAGCCCGGCGGCCCTTCAAGCACGCTGCCTCATGAGAGGCGAGAAGAAGAAGAAGAAGAACAAGAACAAGAAGAAGAAGAGCAAGAAGAGGTAGAGAAAGAAGAAGAAAATGAAAGAAAGGGGTCACAGTGGGGGATGGTCAGAGCCATGCCTACACCGCACTGCTCCCCTGCGGACCTGAAAATAAATATACCCCCGGTTCCGTCGACCCTGCCGCGGGAAGCGGAGGGGCGCAGGGCCCGGTAGGTTGCTGTAACGGCCCCTGCCTTCCCTCCCTGCATCAGGGATGCAGCAAGGGAAAGCGGAATGCGATAGGCCGCCAAGGGGTAGGGGAAAAAGGAAGGAATTCGGAGAGTTTAGGTTAGCGCCGCTAGTGCCATGGCGGTCCCGCCCAGGTTCGATGGCCGCGGCGCCGAGCCAATTATGTGCTCGCGGCAAGCTGTGTTTTCTGCTATACCTGAAAGAGATGTACCCCCGATTCCGTCACCCCTTCCGCCGAAGCGGAGGGACGAGGGACCCGGAAGGTTGTCAAGGTAGCCTAAGTCCCCCCTCCCAGCATCGGGGATGCAGCAAGGGGGGGCGGAAGGCTATGGGCTGCCAAGGGTAGGAGAAGAAGAGGAAATGGAGGATTTGGTACTTCGCCGCTAGCGATATGACGGTCCCGCCCAGGTTCGACGGCCGCAGCGCCGAGCCAGTGCTCGCGGCAATGCTGTGTTTTATACTTCACCTGAAAGAGAAAAATACCCCCGGTTCCGTCGCCCCTTCCGCCAAAGCGGAGGAACGCAGGGCCCGGTAGGTTGTTACGGCAGCCCATGCCCCCCTCTCTGCATCAAGGATGCAGCGAGGCGGGGCAAAGGGCCACCTAGGGTTGGGGAAAAGGAAAGGGAAGGTGGTGTGGGTTCTGTGCCGCTAGCGCCATGACGGTCCCGTCCAGGGCCGACGGCCGCGGCGCCGAGCCAATTATATGCTCGCGGCAATGCTGTGTAGTTCTGCATCTGAAAGAAAAAGCCCCCGGTTCTGTCAGCCCTGCCGCCGAAACGGAGGGACGCAGGACCCGGTAGGCTGCGAGGCAGTCCCTGCCTCCTCCCCTACATCATAGATGCAGCAGGAGGAGACGGAGGGTGATGGACTGCTCAAGTGTGGGATACCTCTCCGGGAGGTGTAAGGAAGGAAGGAAGAGAGGGAAGGGTAGCGACGCGGCTGGGCGGCACCTTCTCCGGTCCCAGTACCCGGCCCAACTTGGCTGTCTGCACGGTTTCGTACCGCTCGAGCCGCTCAGGTACCGGTCCTACCGAGGCGTCGCCCTGTCCCGCTCCCGCTGGAGAGAGGAGGAAGCGGCACGGCCGGGAGGCACTCCTACTCGCCCCAGTGCACGGACAGTGTGGACTGTCTTTGCGGATTTCATACCGCTCGAGTCCTCCGGACACCGGGGTTCGCGGGGAGCGCCACCGTTCCCGTTACCGCTGGGAAAAGCCCGTCTTTTCTTGGCCCCACATCTCACCATGGATTGGGCACGTGGGCGGAGGGAAGGGTCCGCCCTTTGGGGCGCACGGACAGCCAGGGCCCCGTCGGCCGTCTGGACGCGGCGGCGTCCAGACGTTGCCCGACTCTCACCACGAGGAGGTGGGGTTGGTTAATGGGAGCAGCGGGGGATGCTCGAGGCATGCCTAAACCGCGCCGCTCCCTTCGAGAGTCTCTCTAATGATCAGAGAGAAACTGGCTATATCCATGCCGTTTTGGCAGATGGCGTCCGAGGCGGCGCTGGAATACGCCTGCTTGCCACATTATTCCCCCCCCCCCC